TATCAGCCAAACACTAATTTTATTTATTAAATGTTTCCTTTTCAAATAGTTGCTTCTGTGTGCTTTACCCAAAGCTTGAAATCACTGCAAATTTTTCTATCATAATATATTTGCTCTTCTACACATTGTGTTTTATCTTTCTTTTTTATAACCTCAAACAGATATTTAATCTTCATTGTACAATAATTTATTATTTTTTTCAATTGCCATTTTTATTATTAAAGACAGCTGTATGTTATGAAGATTATGAGCCAAGAATAGTAGTATTTTTATATTTAATTTTCTTCAGAGGCTGCAAAAAGGACATTTCAGGGAAAAGGTATCATGGCAGGAGAAAACAGATGTTTTAAGCCTCATTTGACCTTCATGAAATTGTCCAAAGTACCATGGCTCCGGAAGAAGGTGAGCAGACATTTTTATTGTAAAAGCCTTGTTTTACTGGCTACATCAACTTTAAGCATGGTTGGGAGCATGAGTAGCATTTCTAGTGCTTTCTGATATCCTACCACTGTTGTTCCTGGGACTCCAAGTGAGCCTGCTTCTAATTCCCAAGGATGCTGAGTTGGCTTGAACCCCCACACAGGCTCTCACAGCCGTGCACTCCTTTGACTCCATGGCTGTTAGCTGCATACCTGGACCAACATTCACTGCTGCTTTGTCTGTTGCTGCGTCTGCTTCCTCCCTTGAAGGGCCCCGTGTCTTTGCTTATGGTTGTTTGCAGCCTGCTGCCCTCAGAGCTTCCTCCACTGGCCTGCATGTCCTGGTGCTGCTCACTGAAAATGGTTCTTTAAGATGGGACCAGCTTTTTTATTCCCTTTCCACAGCTCTTCAGGGTTCCCAAAAGACCACCTTGCTCTTTTGGCAGTTGTCTCCATTGAGAGCTTGGAGCAAGTATTCCAGGGACTGGGAAAGAGGGTAATGGAGGGACTCCCTCCTCCCTGGTACTTAAAAGTACTTCTCCCTGAAGATGTTCAACAGAGTCATAAGCCAAGGGACATGTCTGTTGAGTTCCCCTATGTCAGGGTGACTTTCTGCTTTGCCAGACTACCCCCTTCTCCCTCTTATGTTGGAATTATTATTGACTTATTCTGGATTAATGAGCATTTCTCCTGGAATCCTAAAGGCACCCTTTATTGTTTTTCCCATTTCAGCCTAGGGAGTTTCTCAGGCAAATTAAGACATCTGCTAACCTGCTCTGATATATCAGAGCTTTGGAGATGGCCATGCAGATTAATATTCACTCCTGCTCTCCATGACCCTTGGCTGCAGTTAAGACTGATTTGCAGCTCTATAAATGAAGGTCATGTTTATTAGTAAGTAGATCTTTTTTCTAAAGTTTTGCTAAATTCTTAATTCTAATTTCTCCATTTTGTATTTAATGTCTCTGCTCAGAAAGTCTTTCTGGTCCCTTAAAATGTGTTTGGGTTATTGACCATCCTGTGGTTATGAGTTTTCTACAAGCTACCACAAACATCTCTAAGAGATACCTTGCATGTTTTTTCTTGATAACTGTTCCCCAATTCAATAGTAACTATAGTAGATGCCATTCTGGAATATTTAGGTAAAAATAATTTGTGTAAATAGTAGATTTTGAAATTTGGAATAACAACTGACAAAACTTGTAGACTGACAGTTTACTTCTTTACTCGTTATCTTTCTTGTTTTGCTTTCAAACGGACTGTCCTCTTCCCAGTGGTTCCAAACTTAAATCACAGAATGACAAATCAGTGGTGCAGGTAACATCCACATTACACAATGTGTCTTTGTCTTTACAAAATTAACCTAGAAATGAGAGCTCCCAAGGTCATTTATCAAAGGAATGTGTAAACTGCTTTAGAATCTCAATTTCAACATTTGAGACTGAATTTAAATAATTTTTTGGCAGTTAGTTTCACAGAATCTGCTTCTTCCTTTGTGCAAAAGGATATGAGACTTGGAAAATGTAAAGTGACTGACATGAGATTACATTCTCTTCAGCTGCAGAGCCCTGTGTAGAACCCATCTTATCTCCTTCTTAGGCTCATAATCTTCCCTCCCACTCGCCACATCCAGTTCATTCAAATTAATTTCTATATGTGAGGAGCTCCCTGATCCAAATCATGTTACTCCCACAAAAATTTATTGAGTGCCTTCTCTGTGCCAGACACAGGATACTGGGCCTAGAGTTATGATCAAAATAGAAACAGTCACTGCTTAAATGGAGTATAAAGCCTAATTCAGGTTGTATTTTGTTTAGATTAGAATGTGAATTATGACCTTACTGCCTTTCAGGAAACCAAATAAGAACTATTAATTTATGGAATGACTCTGTTCCTATTACTACTATAGTGTTTCTGAATGCTTAGGTAAGTATATCTTACACTTTGGAATTCATGAGTCACCTGGGGTACTTGTTGAAGCTGATTTCTACCCTCTAACTTCAAATCTGGAGTTGCACCTAAAGACCTGACTTTCGATGGTCAATAAATGCCATAGGTAATCCTGATCCAACTGGTCTGCAGAATAGTATACTCTGAAACCTGCAGACTTAAATAAATACTCAGCATTGTTTTTTTATTCAGCAAATCATTGGTTCCACTGTAAAAAATTAAAGCTAAAATGAAAAGGTGACATACATAAAAGTGGATTTTTATTACACATTATGGTTTGGAATGCAGATTACTTGAAAATGTGTGGCTCTTCAGTCTCTTTCTTAACTTTTTTACATTTCCAACTACCTATTCTGTCTCAGCACTCCTCTCTCAATTCTCTTCTGAGTTTTTGTTCTGGTCCACTAATTTACACAAGAGTGATCAGATAAAGCCAGTCATGGAATGTATTGCTAATATTCAGTGTTATTTTGATTGACAATGAAATAATAGGAGAGAGAGAGAGAGGAGTGTAAAATAATAGGTTTTTTACTATTCAAATATTACAAAGTTTGTCTCATTTGAAATGCATTCTTTTATTTTAAAACTTACTTTAATTATAAGAGTATTAGGCAAATATATGTTCATCATAAACAGTCCAAATACATATAAACCTTAGAGGGAAATATACAAATATACAATTTTTCCCTCATTACCATCCTGCCATCTGCTTCCTCTCAATATAATTTGTCTTTCTGTAGGTTATCACTGTTAATATATCCTTTTGACCTTCTATACACTGAAAATATATAAAGGTGAATATACATGCATATAGTTCCTTTAAAACAAAAATAATATGTATTTTGATTTGTCATAATTTTTCTCCCCTTGATATATAATTAGGTTGTTTCCTATTTCTTTGCTACCACAAACAATGCTATAGTGAACATCCTTGTTCATTTTTCTTTGGGTAGTTACATCACTTTTTCAAAAAATTAATTCCTTATAGTGTAATTCTAAGGTCAAAGAGTATTGTACATTTTAACTTTTCAAAAACACCACAAATTGCCTTTTAAAACAATGGTGCCAAAATAGTAGTAGACGCAGACACTGAGAAGTGGTTACCATGAGGGAGGGGTTAGGTTGGTGGGTGGGAGAGTTAGTGGGATAAAGGGGCACAGAAACTCTCAATCATAATGTAAGTTCCTCATGGGGATGGTAGTATAGCATGGAGATCATAGCTAATGATTCTGTAACGACTCTGTAACATCTTCCTGTGTTGACAGATAATAACCACACTTGTTGGGGGTGAGGATTTAAAATATGGGTAACTGTGGAACCACTGTATTATATACTTGAAATCAATCTAGATTGTATATCAACTATACTTCAATTAATAAAGGAACAATGGTGCCAATTTATACTTCCAATCACATTGTATGAAGAGGAACATTTATTTATTAGTGTAAGTTTGACCATCAAGAATTATGAATGGAGGCTCACAAATTGCTATGGCCCGTAGAGCTATGAATTAAGCAATTCCCATAAAAAAATTGAAATGCTCATATTCTTTAAGAAGTCTGTGCTACTGAGATTATCCTAAAGAAATAGCTTTTTATTGAGATATAATTACAGCATTGTATAAATTTAAGATGTTAACATAATGATTTAATATATATTGCAGAATGATTTCCACAGTAGGGTTAGTTACACATTCATCACCTCACACAATTACCTTTTTTTTTTTCTTTTGTGGTGAGAACTTTTAAGATCTACTCTCTGAGCAACTTTCAAATATATAATACTGTATTATTAAGTATAGTCACCATGCTGTACATTATATCCCCAGGACTTAATTATTTTATAACTAAGAAATAATTTGAAAGAAGAAATTTTTAATGTGTTCAGTAAAGATGTTTACTGAAGCATAATTTATAATAGGGAAAAATTAGAAATAGCTTCCATAACAATGAAGGAATGTTTAACTCAATTATGGTGAATCATATCAATAATTTAAGAAACTACTAAAATAGATACTGATAAGGATTCTATAATAGCTTAAAAAGGTAAAATGTTCAAGGTATACTATAATTAAAGTTGATTAAAAAGTTTCCTTGGGTTTGCTTTGAATATGCCTTATTTGCTTCAGTGGATTTTAGAGGTAGAAATTAGGTTCCCACAATTGTTTAAGTCCATGATTTTTCTGGTAGATCAGTGAATACAGCTGAACTTAATGTCCCCTGGACTATAGCAAATCCCCCTTGACATATTCAGGATTCCCATGTCGGTTGGTTGGAGGTTTGCTGGAATTCGGAGGAAGTGTGGGGCCTTGGAGGGCTGAGCATAGGTGACACTAGTGATGGACAAGTCAGATGTCCCATGACAAATCAGGGGTGATGGGAAGCCACTGGACGCAGAAAGCCTGAAGGTTTTCCATATCCTGAAGAGTGTTCTTTGAGTTTCTGGTATGGATAGGTGGTGCATAGTAATAGGTGGTGCATAGTAAGAGTGTCTAGAAAAGAACCAATGATATCTTCCACTCAGATGCTCTGTTTTGAAGATTGTTGACAGTTGTTTTCTCTAAATTTCAACTTGACCTGCTAGAAAGTCATCTGAAAATGTAGCAAGTAGATACTGGTGCACGCCTAAGATACTGGGGGTACTGTTGTCAGGGTAGACGTAGTAATTATTGGTAAAAAGGTAAAGAAATGCTCTGGATCATTTATAAGCAAATTCTGAGATAAGATAGATGATCTACTCATTGTTATCTACAGGAGGTGTAACCAGTTCTTCTGTAGCAGTACCTCAATTGATATTTTTTTTCACCATATACTGTGGCATTTTCTTCTGACCTAAAAAACTGTTATCCATGCCAACATAAAAAGATTCAAAGTTGGAGCCATGATTGGTCTGTTTATGGTAAAACATCTCATTGACATTACCGATGCAGACAGATGTCTGGTGCAGGAGATGAGTGTTCATCACCACTGGGATGGTTGTGAAGATCTAGTGTGAGGATTTCCCAGTGGTGTTCAGTGTTGGCTACAGAGGTCC